GAGCAGGGAGCCCGATGCGGGACTCGATCCCGGGACTCCAGGATCATGACCTGAGCCGAAGGCAGTCGCTTAACCAACTGAGCCACCCAGGCGCCCTAAGAACATTGCTTTTCAAATTTGTTTTCAGTAACAGAGCTCATTTGTTCATTGAAACTTCTAAGGAAGCTCAGTATATAAAGTGGCCCTGCTCTGCTCAGAGGGAGCTGGGGGCTTGGCTTCCGTTTCACCTCTACAGGGACCCCTGAAGCACTTTTGTGCCCTTCCCGCCACCTTGGGTCTCCAGGGAACAGCTTGGAAATTGCTGGTCTAATCCCCATCATACCACCGCAGAGAAACTGGGCCGTAGAGAGGAGAGTCATTTGCTCAGGGTCACACAGCTTGAAGTGGCAAGGGATGGGACTAGAACCCAGGCCTTCTTGCACCCCACCCAGCCGCCTCCATGGTGGCATGAGCATCAGATCACCTTTATGTGGCATTTGGTGCTGAGGATGTTGGGCCACCTCATTGTCTCTGGGGGAGGGGTGGGGAGTGTGTATGGAGGGGGGTGGAGACCCATCAGCTTTCCCCAGGCTGCTGCTTTGGTTTTTTGCTGGGGCCGGGGGAGGAATCCTATCATCCCTGGAGACTTTGTCATTTGACCAGGGAACGGATGGGGGAGGTGTGGGGCTCTGGAAGCCTGTGATTAGGGTCTGGTTTGGGCTGAAGGAACTGGGGTTAGTGAGCTCAAGCTGAAATCCCCTTAGTATATTTGGAAAACTGGGGCAGTGACTAACCCAATCAACCACTAACGAGTGGCGATGCTAATGAGCTGTTAATGATGATTTAGCCCAAGACAGATTAATGACGTGCATTGAGGAAGCAATGACTAATTATTCGTGGGCTCTCTACCATGGTTACCGGAAGAGTTCATGCCTCCTCCTGTCTTACGAAGGTTGGGTGCCTCCTGTCCCAATAGAGGAGCAAATGCCCTGAGGTCTGTCCTCTGGCTGGGCTGCCCATCCCCTGGAGCCAGCACCCACCTCCTTTAGCCAGGCTGGGTGTCTTGGTGCCATCACTAACCTGCCTTGCTTTGTTGTGTCTCTCTCACCCCTGCCTGATCTGCATGGTGTGTGCTGTCCGTCTGCTAACCAGGGACCCTACCTTGCTTCCGGGGACCAGTCGCTGGAACGGGCCACCGGGGAGCACGCCAGCGTGCACGAGTACCCCGGGGAGCTGGGCCAGCCCCCGGGCCTTTACCCCAGCAGCCACCCACCAGGCCGGGCGGGCACCCTGCGGGCACTGTCTCGCCAAGACACGTTTGACGCCGACACCCCTGGCAACCGAAACTCTGCCTACACGGAGCTGGGAGACTCATGTGTGGACATGGAAACTGACCCTTCAGAGGGGCCAGGGCTCGGAGACCCTGCAGGGGGCAGCACCCCACCGGCCCGGCAGGGATCCTGGGAGGATGAGGAAGAAGACTATGAAGAGGAGCTGACCGACAACCGGAACCGTGGCCGGAATAAGGCCCGCTACTGCGCAGAGGGTGGGGGTCCAGTTTTGGGGCGCAACAAGAATGAGCTGGAAGGCTGGGGGCGAGGTGTCTACATCCGCTGAGAAGCAGGGGCCACACAGTGGCCCAGGGGAGGGGAGGGACCGAGGGGCTCACCACAGGGGGGTATCTTGCCTCCAGGGGGGCGCTGTCTCCCTCTCAGATGCCTTCGCTGGATGTTTGGGGTTTCTTTGGTGGTAGCATCCCAGCGCCTGGGATTCCCTTAAAGCCCAGCTGTAGGTTTTCACTTACTGCTGTGGATGGATGAGGGGATGCCCACCTTCCTGCAGTGTCCCTTTTCCCCCACCTCAGGGGGCTCTCTCTGCTCACTCCCAGAGAAAAGGTGCACTTCCTTAACTCTTTCTACTTGGGGCTCTAAATAAGGGTCCTAAATGGGGTAGCCCTTTTTTTCCCCAACCTGGAGTATTTGGGAAGGGTAAGGGGGCTTCCATAGACTCCTTCCCGTGAGGGCTCTCTTCCCTGAACCCCAGACCCAGGTTCCTACACCATGCCCACCCCTCTCCCAGCTTCCTGGCAGCATTGTCTGGTGGGTGAAAGGTATAGAATGGAAGCCCCATGGGGAACTTGTCTTGGGGAGGGGTCTGGGTAGAGAGCGGCAGGCATCAAATGTAGTGCCCTCTGCCGGACCCGGACCCCTGAGGAGCGGGCAGCCGGAGACCCTGCTACCCACCCCACCACTTCCATGCCTCAGCCTCCACCTGCGCCAGGAATGAGCTTTGCCTACAACCTCCCTTGCCTACTGCCATCAGAAGAGGGGGCCCCTCTGCGTCTGAGCCCCCCACCCCGTTTCACCTGGGTGTGGCACCCATGGAACATTCTAGTCCGCCTCATTTTGAAACCAAAAAAACTGCTCCTTCACTTTCGCCCGGAGGCCCCAGGGGAGAGGCCCTGTGGGTTGGTGCCCAAGAGGTAATCGCTGCCCCAGGGGTCACCTCGGGGCCTCGGATCTCCCCTGGGGGGCTTGGCTGCTGCTGGTCTTGCTCTGCATTTGCCTCTTGTGATCCTGTCCTTACCCCACGTCCACTCCCCCCCAGGAGATGCCTTGGTACCCCCTCTGGCCCCTCCAGTGGTCCTTGGCCTAGCGTCCCTACAGCCCCGCAGCCCTGCCCCTCCCCAGCACGCAGTGGGGCCAGAGAGAGCCGACTGTGCCAACGAGGACTGGGCCCTGCCCGGCTGCCCTCCTCGGGGATGGGCGCCTCATCCCTGTCTCGCCACCTGTGCCGGTGTGGTTCCCCCCCTCCCCAACGTGGGGTGGGGTGCAGCTTCCACTCACTGGTTAGAAGACACCACTGCCCAGTGTCCCTCCCCTCCCTCCCTGTCTGGTGTCCTGTGCCCCCATCTGTCTGTCTGTCCGTCTGTACTCCCCTAGAAGTATTGGGTCACATATAAAACCGCCGTCCTGTCCTTTGCAGCCGCCTCCCGAGCCTGCTTCTTCGTTCCTGCCAAGCGGTCAGCCTGGGCAGATGGGAGCTGCCGCCACGCAGGGGAGTGTGAAGGGGCGGGCACGGGGACAAGCCGTGCCCCGAGCCCTGGATTGACCAGGACAGACGGGGCTTTGTTTGGCGGCTCTCTGAGGCCTCACGGTCCTGTGTGGCCAGTTTCAGCTGCTGCTTCCCATTCAGTCCCAAGCCTTACCCGTTTCCCCACAAGCAGAGCCAGAAAAGAATGGGAAGCTGAGGTGGAGAAGTGGGGTGTCGCAGGCATGATTCCGTGGGTGAGATCCAGCTTTTCTGCTCCTGGGGCCTTGGCTGCTGCCCAGCACCTCCTGAGGGTGACCGAGTTCCCTCTGGCTCCCTCCTCCACTGATGGCCCTGCTAACCATCTTTGGGAGATGGAAGAGGTCTACTGGGCGGGGGCAGAGAATGGGGGCTCCACCAGCCCCAGCCGAGAACATCGAGAGAGAGTTGGCAGGGGACTATGTCAGTTCCGTCATCCCCAGCTGGCAGGATGTGGACCCCAGACTGTTGTCGTGCCTGGCACTTGTATCCTGCCTCACGTGGCGCTCACAAACCATGTCGCCACTCTCCTGGTTCTTGTTTCTGGGGTGGTGGACCTGGAGGACTAGAGCTCCTGGGTCCCTTACCTGAATGTTTCTGCCCAAAGTGTGTGTGTGGGGGGGGGTGTAGGGCAGCAGACATCTAGACCTTCCAGGTGAGGGGTTAGCAGACCCCAGGAAAGGAACTGGGCAGGTCTGCAGGTCAGGTGGCTGGCCCAAGGTCCCAGGGAGTTGACGGCAAAGACTGCTGGGGTTGGAGTCCAGTCTCTGCCTCCCAGCCTAGCGCTCTGACCCCACTGCCTTTCAATGGAATCAATCCTTTATTCCTGTGTTTACTCATTGGACATTTACTGAGCACCTACCATGTACCAGGCACAAGTCTAAAAGGGAGCCACAGACAATTCAGGACAGCACGGTGAGCTCTGCTGGGAGAAGCACTGGGTTCTCCAGGAACCTGGTAGAAGGGTAATTCCCTTAGCCTGGGGAGGTCAGGAGAGGCTTCTCAGAGGAGGTGAGGCTTGAGTGAAGTCTAGAAGGCTGGTTAGGAGTTAACCTGGGTGGGCAGGGGGGGAAGTGTTCAAGACAGGGGAAGCAGGTAACATGCATGGCATGTTCCTGGTACTTCACCAGCAAAGTGTGCTCTCAAGGGGGTGGTCAGAGAAGGGCCGGCAGGAGCAGATCACGGTGGACCTTGAGTCATGTGAAGGAGTTTGGGCTTTGTCCTGAAGCTGCTGTGCAGAAATTGAAGGATTGTAAGCAGCAATGACAAAGTTGCCTTGGTTGCGGTTTGGAGCATAGATTGGTGGGCCTAGCTTGGACACAGCTGCAATACTCTGGGTAAGAAACAAGGGTGAATGGAACACTATCAAAAACTAATGATGTAATGTATGGTGATTAACATAACATAATTTAAAAAAAAGAAGAAACAAGGGTGGGCTGCACTGGGCCATAGCAGGGGGATGGGAAAGGAGGCAATGACTGCCAGAAACATCTAGCAGTTAGAATCCAGAGCTCGTGGAGAGCAATTGGAGGTGGCCAGTGAGAGACAGGGAGGCGTCTGGGGGCGACTATGGGTGATGGTCTTCCCAGACATAGAGGAAGCAGGTGGAAAAACCAGGTCAGGATCAGAAACAATGTCTAGCTTTGGACAACGTGGGTTTATGGTGCCTGTGGAAGGACACCCAAGAGGAGAAGAACAGAAGACAGCTGGGTGCTTAGTCTGGAGAATCAGGGAACTGCAGAGAGCTCCATCTGGGGGTGGAGCCCCATCTTTTGAATCAAGGGCAGGGATTACTAACTTCAGTTTACAGATAAAGCTCCGTGAGGCTAAGCAACGTCCATAGTTACACAGCTACGGAGCAAGGACTTGAACTCAGATCTTTGGAGTTCAAGTTCTGTGTGGTGCCTGTGAACTCCAAGTCTCGTGCCCATTCCCCTGCTCCGGCTTCTGCAAGGGGAGGAGGGCTGGGGAGGAAGAAGCAGGTGTCTGAATACGTTTGTCTCCTCTTCATGTGCCTTCTGCCTGGAAATTGCATTTGCCCGGAACTTGCAGGTGGGGGCATTTCTAGGTGGTTTAGAGGTGTTGAGAGATGAAGAAAGAGAGATTCTTATCTTTTGGTAACCACAGCCCTCAACTGATGTACATTCAGCACGTTGGTGGTTGTCAGCATGTGAGGATTTCAACAACGGTAAAGTCAGCTGGGATTAGGTCTCCAGAGGCTGGTGCTACCACCACCTCAGGGAGTTGAGAACTGAGGCGCCGGGGACCCCTCCTATCGGGAACCCCTCGTCTCCTTCCCTGACCAGTAGCTTCTGTCCAGCTTCTGAGCTGAGGTCAGAGAGGCCTTAGTCCTGGGTGTGGCTGAAGGTTTCCACCTTCCAAAAAATCAAGGAAGCTGAGCTCCCTCCACGGCCCGGGAGCAATGGGTGTTCCAGCTGGTACCCTAAAGAAAAATCTTGTCTTAGCGCCAATAATCACATCCTCAGAAAAGTGTGCCTTCTTACCTACTGTCTCTCAGGGCTTTGTTTTGGTTTTATTTTTTGATGTGTATATTTCTCTCTCCCACTAGACGGTAAAGGCTCCAAAAGACCCAGACCGGGTCTGTTTTGTCTACTTGGCCTGTTTCCTAACTCCTGACTCATATTTGTCAAATAAAGGAATGAATGCCCCCTAAGACCCAGGCTCTAGGCCTGGCAGCCGAGGCAGCTCTCGTCTGTTTACTGACTGTGCTCCAGCTAGCAGAATATCACTTTCAATTCTGCAACTGGTGGTGGTAGTTGGGGGAGGGGGCAGGATGCACTAAGGGGTTCCTTCTCCCCCGAAAGATGGTAAAAGTGCTTAAAATATTACTGCTTCCCCCAGCCCCCTCTGCACCCCCACCCTAACGCACCCAGCTCTCCTTCTTTCCTGGGGCTGAAATGGGCTCTGGTAGTCAATTCTCCTTCGCTCTAACTCCAGGCACCAAGGCGGGTGGGATAATTCCTTATTTAGCCAACTGTTTTCCCTCTGCTCTCCATACACTTCCCAGCCTTCTTCATTCCTCTTCAACTTGTGCTCACACTTCTTTAATGCTCGAAACACCAGGCTCTAGCATAACTCATTGTACTTCACTCCAATAGCAACATGGTCCTACTGTGTGCCAGGCACTGGACCAGGCTGGGAGTGCGGGGAGAACACAAGTGAACAAGACCCGAACCCCACACTCCAGGCCTCACAGCTGATTGGTGGAAACAGGCCAGTGTCCAATCTCAGAGTAGAGAGAAGCCCCATTTGTCTGGAGAACCAGGCCAGGGCTTGAGAAGTAGGTGGCTTTTATGGCAGGCAGCTAAAGGCTTTCAGGAATCCACCTTTCTGAGAAGGTGAAAGACATTCAGGTGGAGGAAACACAGAAGCAAAAGCATGGTTGGAAGGAGCTGGGCATGTGTGGGCAAGGACCAGTGGATGCAGAAGGTGGGAGATCACCTGCAAAGGCAGGTGGGGGCTGTTCACGGAGGCTCTTGAATGTCAGGTGAGGTGGCTGATCTGAACCAGTGGGCAATAGGGAATCATTGAAGGTTTATGAGCTGTGGAGTGACGGACTCTGAGCTGTGCTTTATGAAGGTCAATAGGGCTGTGCTGAATTAGGGGGAGGCAGAGGCAGGGAGACGAGTAAAGTTTGTTCCCTTGGTGGAGGGGAGCACTAATGGGCTATAGGAGGGCCGTGGCAGTTGGGGGCAGAAGGAGTTGATTCTCCTGTGTGATAACTGGCTTCTCCTAACCGCCCCCTCAGCCTGAGGTTGGTTTGCCTTCCCACTTCTCTTTTTGTTTTCTGGTTTTCCCCAGTTTATGCAAAGAAGGAAATTCACAACAAAGAGTCCCCTCCTCCCTCTCCCTCCTCCAGCCTGGCTCTCTCTTGGCCCAGGTTCTCTTCTGCTGGCTCTTGGCATCTGGTACCCCTCTGTAGGGTCTCTGGCTGCGAGATCTCTCTTTTTGCTCCGTCCTTATCTTAAGATGCCCATCCCCCCAGATCTGGGAGCTGTGCCTGAGCAGTTTGCCAATGAATCATAGAAGCAGTACGGATTTATTCCTAGAAGTTACCTATCACCAAGGGACCTCCAAAAGGAAGGGAGACCCTGCCCTTCCCTAAGGGAACTCACTTTGAGTCGGCCTGCAAGAGCCACACTAGTGAAAACAGTAGGGATCTGCTGAGGGTTGGAATATTCTCCCAGCTCAGAGAGGATCAGTGAGCTGCCTGCTCCACACAGCTGGCTGGTGCAGAAGGTAGGGTTTTGCTTCAGTCTAGTGTCCCAGGCATGCCACTTGGAGAAGGGAGAGCGGGGACCCGGTAGTGGGTCACTGTGCCTGGCCTCCTTGATACAGTGGGGGAGCAGTTCACCCAGAGAACCTCTGGAGTTTTCTCAGGGCAAAGGCAAAGGGGAGGATGTGGAGTCTGGACCCCACTTTCCTTGCACCTCCAGGGCTCTAGACAAGTAGCCTGTTCGCTGTCGTCGTGACACTCATAGCACCTGCGAGGGGCCCCCCATCCCAGGGGATTCCCAGGTCCCGCAGGTGACTCCTCGGGCTTCCGTGACCTCATAGGCAAAACTCGCTCGGCCCTCCCCGGGGGGCGGGGTTCTAAGCACCCTGGCTCGACCCGGGCCCCCGAAGGTCGCTGAGTCTTGCCCCTCTCCGGCCTGGGACGCGCCATGGGACAACTGATCGCCAAGTTGATGGGCATCTTCGGGAACCAGGGTAAAGGGCGCACAGCGCATTCAAGCGACCGCTTTGATCCGGTCCCACCTGGGGCTCCCGGATCTGGGGTCGGGGCGGATGCGCTGGGGGACCTCGGGCTCCGAAGGTCCTGCGTGGGCACTCCTTGCAGGCTCCGCGGCCTTCCCTGCCCCCTCCCACAGCCCCTCCCCGCCCCTCCCCGCCCGCTCCTCGCGGGTGGCGCGCTTTCGGTGCACCCCGGGGCGCAGGGCCCGGCGAGCCTCCGTCCTCCTGGCTAAAAGCGGCCGCGGGTTTCCTGCGATCGTGGCCTCTTCTCCAGACCCCTTCTCTTGGCAAGCCCAGGGCGACCCGGACCTTTTCGGCAACCGCTTTTCTGGAAATGTGGAGCGAGGGAGGCGGGGCTCAGCAATCATTTCCACTGTCCGGGAGTGGTGCGGCTGTCCGGGGTCTGGGGGTGGGGGGAGGAACCCTGCCCTGTTGGTTTTTTGTCGGGGAGGCGTGCAGGGGAGCAGAAGTGGTACAGTGGGCAGAGGTCTCCCAGCTCGCTGGAAACACTCGTCTCCTTCCTGGGAAGCCCGATGCAGCATTCAGTCCCTTGGTTATTGAGTTTGGCCCTGACCCTGCCTTCCCCCCTGGATGCCTCCAGAGCACAAGGTTATCATCGTGGGACTGGACAACGCCGGAAAGACCACCATTCTCTACCAGTTGTAAGTGACTCTCTGATGGAAAGAGGTGGGGGTTGGTTCTTCCCATCAGACTGACTGACCTTTGGACCAATCGCCGGAGCCCTTCCCTGGGTTCCCGGGTTTTCCAGTAGCCAGGAGGAATGATGGTGGGGGGAAGCTCTGTGATCTTCCTGGCATAGTGACCCTTCAGTTCTGTGGCCCCCTCGCTTGGCATTCGAATCCTGCCCGATATGGGCGACCCCAACGGTCCCCGCCATCCCCCTCCCACCCCCGCCCCTACCAGACCCTGTTGGAGGCCTGAGGCTGGCAGAAACGGACTTCCTGCCTCCCTGCTCTTCGCTCCCCCTAGTGGCGGGTTCCACATTTCTAACTCCTGCGCCCGAACTTTGCCTCTTAACTTTCTCCCCCTCTTCACACCCAAAGGGGAGGGCTAGTTTTGAGTCTGGCTGAGCTCTGTAGCTCCCGACGTCCACTCTCTGGATGGCATCTCTCCCCCTTTGGAACCTGCAGAGTATTTACGTAGGAAAATTTTCCCCTGAAAAAGAAATATATGTAAATGTTTATTTTATTTATTTATTTATAAAAAGATTTTATTTATTTATTTGACAGAGAGAGACATAGCGAGAGCAGGAACACAAGCAGGGGGAGTGGGAGAGGAAGAAGCAGGCTTCCCGCAGAGCAGGGAGCCCGATGTGGGACTCCAACCCAGGACCGTGGGACCATGACCTGAGCCGAAGGCAGATGCTTAACCAACTGAGCCACCCAGGCGCCCTAAATGTTTATTTTAAACCAGAAGAAAAGAGTACATCGAACATTACAAGCACATACAGTGAAAAGTAAGTTTCTCAATCACCCCTGATGCCCAGATCTTCCAGAGGCACCCCCTACATATAAAAAATGTGTGTTCTCTCTGTTAAACAAAGCACCTCTCTGATGGTCTTCACTTGTATCTGTCTCGTTTTCCCAATCCCTTGCTGCTTAAAGTGTGGTCTACACATCAGCAGCATTGCCATCATCTGGAAGCTTTTTGGAAATGCAGAACACTGGGCCCCAGCCTAGACTCACTGGACTAGAATCTGCATTTTAACAAGACTCCCAGGTGATTCAATTGCATATTAAAGTCTGGGGACACGACTCTAATATGACTCCTGTTTCTGCGGTCCCCGCCAGGGCAGGACTCGGTCCCACTCCTGCCTGCATTCCCCTGTGCCCAGAGGCTTGGCCAACCTGGGCCGAATTTTTCTGAGTTAGATTCAGCCTGACTCGGGAGCCGAGGGGTGGGGGGCCCAGAGCTGGGAGCAGAATGGGCTGAACTCTTGGTGCCCTCTCCTCCCTCCCCAGCCTGATGAATGAGGTGGTCCACACATCTCCCACCATCGGTAGCAACGTGGAGGAGCTCGTTCTGCGAAAGACACACTTCCTTGTGTGGGACATAGGGGGACTGGAGGCTCTGCGCTCTACCTGGAATGCATATTGCTCCAACCCCGAGGTGAGCACAGTGTTGGGGCTGGAGGGGCCCTGAAGGCTGCTGTGTGACATGAGCCAGTCACTTAACCTCTCTGAGCCTTGGTTCCCTGACTTTGTGAGGTGGAGACTGTAATAACGACTGCCCTGAATTGTTGTGAAAATCCCATAATAAACAACAGCTAACGCATACATTTCAAATCCTTAATGCAGCACAGTGTTTTTAAAAAATGTTTGAATACCTCTTGGCAGCTTTGTCTGTTGGCTGGCAGCTTTCTGTGTGATGCACTGCATGGGGTAGGCCCTCGGTCTCCGGGGGCCTTTCTCACTCTTGCAAGATTTGGTGGTTTGCTTCCCAGAGTGAGACCGAAGGCGAATTCCAGCACTGCTACTCACCAGCCCTGTGTCCTGGGGCAAGATCTGTCGCCTCGCTGAACCCATCTCGCTTGTAAATGGCGCTAAGCCTAGTCCAGTCGCCCAGGGCTGTGGTGGGACCTGAACACCGTCACGAACGACCGGGGCGTCGCCTCTGGCACACAGTCAGAGTCGTGCTGTGTTCCCCCACCGTCTGGATGGAAAAGGGAATGAAAATGGGACTAGGACGGTGAGAGCTTGAGACCAGACCCGTGCTCTGTGGGGCTTACACGGGGCGGTGCCGAGGCCGGGTGGGGGGGCACAGTGGGCGGGAGAAAGCCCACCACTCACAGCTGCTCTCTGCTGGCCAGCTCATCATCCTTGTGATTGACAGCACCGACCGGGACCGATTGCCCACCACTCGGGAGGAGCTGTATAAGATGCTGGCCCATGAGGTAAGGCCCCTGAGGTTGGGAGAGGGCCCGGTGTACTAGCTGTGGGACCTTAGCCTGCTCACTTAGCCTCTCTGAGCTTCGTTTCTGAGTCCCCGGTGTCTAAGAGCCGCTACCCTAGCAGTTTGGACGGGGCTAGTTTATCCCAGATGAAGGGCCAGAATGCCCTCCGCACAACTGATCGCAGAAGACAGAGCTGCTGGTCCAGGTCGTGACCCCACTTCTCACTCACCATGGGACCTCCAGACAAGTCACTTCACTTCTCTCAGTTTCCCCAAGTACAAAATGGGGGAGGATCACCAAATTCCTGCCTCATGGCACTGTCATAAGGAGCATATGAGCTGGTGGGCAGGCATTCCCCGAGCCGTGGGTGTCCGCGGATGTGGTGGCCCCCCGCCGGTCCCACCTGGGACAGCAGGGGAGCTAGGGAGGACTCGGGGGTGGGGGAAGGGGGAAGGGAGGCTAGGCCCTGGCTGGCTGAATGGGGCTAGGCTCCTCTGTGCACAGGCTCTTCGAGATGCTTATGTCCTGATCTTTGCCAACAAGCAGGTTATGAACAACTCCATGACCACTGTGGAGATCTCTCAGTTCCTCACTCTGAGCGCCATCAAAGACCACCCGTGGCACATCCAGGGCTGCTGTGCCCTCACCGGGGAAGGGTTAGTGGCTGCCCCACCCAACCCCACCACTTGGTTGGGCCAGACCAACGAACAGCTGACCATCAGAACCTTCTCCTGTTTCTCTGCTGTCAGAATCTGGCTCACACTTAGCTCCTGGGCCCAGTCAGTCAAGCACCCACCCACAGCTGAGATGTTGTGGGTAAGCGGTGAGCGAGATAGAGTGCCTGCTCTCAGGAGGTGTATTCTAGTGGGGAGAGAGGTGACCCTCCATCTAAGCACAAACCTTTCAGGTACTGAGAAGTGCCATGAAGAGAGTGAAATTGAATTAACAGTGATAGATGGGGCAGGGTTGGGTCTGATTCAGCTCTGGTGGTCAGGGACAACCTCTACTAGGAGGTGACCTTTGGGCTGAGACCTGAAGGGGGAGGAGACAGCCATGGGAAGACATGGGGGCCAAGCCTTCCAGGCAGAAGTCACTGAGGCTTTCTGACCTCGAGTTTTCTCATCTGTAAAGAGGAGGGCGATTATACTGACTCTCTCTTAGAGTTTCTGTAGAGAGTAAACGGTATCATTCATTCAACATTTATCGAACACCAGCTCTGTGCCAGGCATTTTTCCAGGTGCCAGAGAAACAGCAGTGAACAAAACACAAAAACCCCTGCCCTCATGGGGCTTACTTTATGGTGGGAGGGAGCCGACAATAAACAATAAAATTAAGAAAAATCTATAGTAAGTTAAAAAGTGGCAAGCGCTCGAAAAAGATCAAGTAGGAAAGGGAGATTGAAAGGATGTGGGCAAATGTTGCAATTTTTGCTGAGGTACCGCTGAGAAAGTAGCTAAGTCATGGTCACATAGAAAGGGCCTTGCATGCATCAGGCTTGGAAAATTCTCTTTCCTCTTCTCTCTCTCGAGTGGGATCGCAGCAGGCTGGGGACTCGGGTGCCTGGAGACTGCAGGCAGGTCAGCCCAAGGAACCACACAGTTCTGGTAGTGTTCCTGCCATTCCCTCCCCCAACCCACATCCATGTCCTCTGCTAGACTGTAAGCCCCAGAGGGCATGTCTGTGTTTTCACCAGTCACCCCAGCCCCTAGCCCAGTACGTTTATATTTGTCGACTGAGAGATGGGATGTAACTTTGGTTGTTACATCCAATCCATCAGCTCTGGGTAGGGGCTGGGGGCTTGGAGGCCATCATCCTCATGGGATATAATGATCTTTGCCCTCTTCCATCCTCCCCGCAGGCTGCCCACGGGGCTCCAGTGGATGCAATCTCAGGCCACTGCCAACTGATGCCCCGACCTGAGGCCAACCAAGGACTCTGGGGGGTTTTGCTTGGACTACATGGGTGGAAAGCCCAAGTGACGATTACTTTTCTACGATTCTCTGATGGGAGCTGGGTCAGCTCTGGACGGTGAGATCGCCACAGTCCACCCAACCCAACCCCGCCACCAAGGGGCTAGACTGCCCACCCTGACCTGCTGCAGACAGGACAGCAGAAGAGCTGCCCTTCACTCCAGGGAAGCAGGTGTCCTTGGAGGCACAGGCGAGCTGTTGGACATGTCGAGGGATTGGGAAGTGGAGCCCCGTCCCCTTAGCCCACAACCTCTTTGAGGAAAAAAAATGGGGGATGGAGTAAGAGACCCCCTGGAATTGCTCTTTATTTCCTAGAACCCCACCCCCTATCCATCGATTCCCGCCCCAGCTTTCTGGCCCCTTAGCCATCTTTGAGCAAAGGAGATTCCAGAAAGGTGAAGGGGCAGGCTCAGGGGAAGGAGGACAGAGCCAAAAACTGGTGGGAAGGGCGCCTGGGTGGCTCAGTTGGTTGGGCGACTGCCTTAGGCTCAGGTCATGATCCTGGAGTCCCAGGATCGAGTCCCGCATCGGGGGGAGTCTGCTTCTCCCTCTGACCCTCCCCCCTCTCATGTGTTCTCTCTCTCAAATAAATAAATAAATAAATAAAATCTTAAAAAAAACAAACAAAAAACTGGTGGGAAGGGAGAGGAAGAAGGACGGGACATCCCGGAGGAGGACATGCCTTGCACTTTGGGGAGTTCCACTCCTCCCATGCCTCTCATTTCCCTCTGGGATGCTGGCTCTGACCACAGCTGAGTGTTAAGCCATCCCATCCTATGCCCTCCAGTCCTTCCAGTGTGAATCCCACTCCTCCCACATGTCTCCAGTTCCTACAGCGTGCCTATCTCGACTGTCTTTTGTCATGATTTTGTCATTGTTTTAGAATTTTTATAAAAGTATAATAAATGCCATTGAAAACTGCTCACCTCTTATTTCTGCCTGCTCCTGCTACCTGTGTTTCCAACTGGCTTTTGGTTTTTGTACAGGGTTATCAGGTCCGGGGAAATGCTCCTTGGAAATGAAGGGGGTACTGCCTCAAGAGTCCATCTGGCTAGGGGACTGGCTGGTTCTTTGGTCCTGGGCTCTACCATCCTTTGCCAGATAACTGACTCCTGACTTGCCAGGACTGGGAGCTTTTGGCTCTACCTGGGTCTAGGGGTGGGAGTGGTTTGATGCTGACTCATGGAAGAGCGGGGAGGGGCCTTTGGGGATTTCTATGGACGCAGAGCGGAAGACAAGGATGGAAACCCAGGCTGTCCACCTGTATGCTGAGACCTGCTGTTACCCCATAAGACCTGAGATGGTCCTGGAGTCCATGGGTTTCTCTCCTTCCCAAGTCAGGCCATGGACATCTTGGGGACGCCTGGACACAGTTATAGAAGGCCTAGGATTCCTTGTGATGATGGAAAAAGAGCTCAGGATTCTAGCTATCCCCACCCAGCCCACAACCTGTTCTTTTCATGAGGTCATTTCGACACAGCCCTCGGATAAAAACATAATTTAATATTCCCCTTAGACTACAGAAATCCATTCTAATAAAGGGGTAAGCGACGTGGCGGGGGTATAGCTCAGTGGTAGAGCATTTGACTGCAGATCAAGAGGTCCCCGGTTCAAATCCGGGTGCCCCCTCTCCAGACAAGACTTTTCGTGTTTTCTTTGTCCTGCGGTCCACCTCTCAGAGTGCCCTAGCAGTGGAGAGGGGTTGCGATCCACCTCTCAGAGTGCCCTGGCAGGGAAGAGGGGTTGCAGTCTCGGGGGCTACCACCCCCTTTTGCAGGCAGGCGACTTTGGAGTCTTGACCCCGCAGATCCACGCGCTCAGCCCGCGCGGGCGTTTACGGGTGGGATGCAGTGCGAGGGCGAGAAGTTGCTGGTTAACCCTGGGGGGACAGCGCAGACTGCGCACTCCCGAAGCGCGCGGGCGGAGGCGGGCGCACCCCCAGGTGGGCCTGGCCAGCGACCCGACCGCTCTTTCCGCGGAGGGAGGCCGACTATCTAAGGGCCGGGCTTGGGCTGGGGAAGGAAGGCCCAGAGAAGCCTGCCTGGGCGTGCAGGACGGAGAGAGGGGCGCCAAGAGGCAATAAAGGGGCTCCGACAGGGCAGGAGAGGGGGACCTCGGCGCAGGGAATGTCCCCGAAACCAGGGATCTCGAAGGATCTCGAGGGATTTTTCCAAACTCCATTTTGCTTACACCATTCAGTAGAAATCTTTAGCTCAGAGCTTCGGGAAACAAGTTCCGCGTCCAGGCGAGTAATCTTTTGAGATTATATTATTTTCAACTTTTGTGAACATTGGACCCCGCTTCTTTTCACAACCTCGTCACAGCGCCTGCGCACTCATAGCACTAAGAGGTTACTGCGCCCAAACGTCAGCAGAGGGGGGTATAGCTCAGTGGTAGAGCATTTGACTGCAGATCAAGAGGTCCCCGGTTCAAATCCGGGTGCCCCCTTGCTAGTCGTTTTCACTTGGCCGCAAAGGTCCTGGTCTCCCTATGTCATTTTTTCCCCCTTCCCCATTTTACGTTGACATTGCCTTCGCCAGCTCCCTTCTGGGCATACGACAATTGGTGCAAGAAAGACGCGAGAGAGTGCAAGAAGCGGGAAATCTCAAGCAATGGCTCTTAAAATGTGGTCCCCGGACTAGCACCACCACCTGGGAACGTGTTAGAAATGCAGATTCTCGGCTTCTTCCCAGAACTATTGAATTAGGAACCTGAGGGTGGCGCCCAGAAATTTGTATTTTTAATAAGCCCTCCAGGTGATTCTGATGTACGCGCAAGTTCTAGAGGCTTACATTTTAAAAAATTTACACGTCACTTGCTTCGAATTATTTCCAAGCTTCTGTTTTCAGTCCGAGCCCTTAAAGAGACCTTGTAAGACAGACCGCGGCTCGCCACTTGGCCGCTAGAGGGCAGCAAGAAGCCGCAGCTGGAGGCGGCGGCCTCTTCCTATTTGAGAGTCGGCAAACTCGGGATTTGAATTAGACAACAAGAAGAACTTACAGACAGGCCTTGCCTTGTCCCATTGTAAAGGCTTAGGGTTTAGGGCTGGAGGAGGTCGTTTCTGGGACCCTGGATCCAGAGGAAGGAGGAACTGGGATTCTGAGAGGTTAGGGAGTCTTTAGTTTTTGTTTCCCTTCTCAGTTCCTGTCTTTGGCCTCAGTGTCAGGGAACCCCCCTCTTCCAGCCCACACTCCTGTCCCCGCGCGTATCCCTCTTCCTGCGGAATGCCCTGAAGGGCTCTCCGCGACCATCCCCTACCTGTCCGTGACTGTCCAGTCCCTAGGCCCCAGCCCCGTGAGAAACCAGGTGCCCCTCACCCCTCATTCTCCCACCCTCCAATGCTCCAGCTCCTTGCCAACGCACGAAGTAGGTCAGGGGAGGGAACAGGCACCTTCGTGTCCTGACCTGATTCCCCGCCGTCTATTAAATCTCCTAAATTGCGGGTATTTTTGTTCTGTCCTGAAAGAAAAGAAAAGGAAAAAAAAAAGGTGATCTATCCCCAGAGTCCTTCATAAGGTGGTGGCAGGTGGGGTGAGACGTCTTCTTGCTCTGGGGGCTGGCTTTGAGGATTGATTGGGACCCTGAACAGGCCCGGGGTCCCCAGAGAGAAGGGTGGCCTCAGTTACCGTCTGGGGGTGAGGGGAAGTCCGGGTTAAAGTATGGGTAAGCCGGGCCCCTCCACCCCCGTGTCCGCCTGGCTGGTGGGCAAGACGGTGCTGGGAACTGGGGGTGACGGGAAAAAGGGAGAGGAGCCTTGGGGAGGGGAGTGGAATTCGGGCCTCTGTTGGCGAGAGAAGCTGGGGGGTCTGTGCTGCAAGGGGAGATTCCTGGGGTGGGGATGGGCATCAGAAACCCACAGAACTCTGAGGAACAGCCCAGAAAGTCGGGAAGCCTGGTAGAGCTGGGGAAGGGGTGCGTATTGCAGGAGTCCACCGCCCGAGGGACGGGACGCCTGTCCCTTCCTGGGGTGTGCACCCCCCCACACACACACCCCGGTCTTGTCTCCGCGGCTTTCCCAGGGGGGTGGAGGAGGGGAAGGGAGGCAGGAGCTAAGGTGCGGGCTGGGGGGCCGCTTCTCCCAGCCCAGGGTCCCCCGCCCTGTCCCCTACTCCGCCC